GTGTGTGTGTGTGTGTCTTGAGATTTGAAGGCTAAACTTTCGAATTGAACAAAATCATAAAATTAACCTTGAGAGCTGCTTGTTAATAGAGAATTGCAGGTATTTGAAGGTTGAATTTGGCTTTTTTTTTTTTGAAGATAAAAAAATCCAATATGAAGTATTAACAAATAAAACTTTATAGTAGATAAGGAGATGTCTCCTTTTGGGGGAGAAAAAGTGGCCAGCAACTTTGATGATACTGACATATGTCCCAGAGAATAGAGAAATCATCAAACAAAGTGAAACGGTGAAACCAACTTAACATCAGCGGCATTGTGCGCCTGAGTGATGGAAAACAAATCAAACATAACACAACTTATTTTTTTAGAAACACCTAAAGTTTATTCCGTCTCAAACGCATGAATGTTGATAAAGTGACAGCTTCTTCCCAAAAGAAGCCAAAACATATTTGAAAGTAAAGACTATTGTCTATATTTACACATTCCTTAATAAGATCTCTAATCCTAATATATATAAAGATTTCGGGAGGCCTTGAGGTAGAGATTTTCTCTTTCCCTGCTAGCTTTCCTCCAGCTGTCAATCTCTCCTTCCTTCTTTCCCCTCTTCCCCTCCTCCCCACTTCCCAGCTTCAAAAGTGTGTCCACTGCACGCCCTCGGCCAGGCACTTTGCTAGGCCAGCAGTTGGGCCATTATTCCCAATCCTTCCAGTTCTATCCTTTTTACTTTCTATGCTTATTTCACTGTTGTTTCCTGAAACTCTTTGCCAATCTGTCAGTTGGGCACATCTGCAGATACAGACACAAGAAATGTGCCAAGTGTCATCTAGCCTCAAATCACCTTAGTTGTTGCAAAGGTCACAGGTCAAATGATTGATGCAGATGAAAGAATCTGAGGATTTCATTTTTAAGACAGGCTTCCTGAGAGTCATCATGAACTTTGACCCAAACCACTAGGGGATAGATGGCTTTGAGAAAGCAGTGATGAAATTGTTTCAGGAATAATCAGAGAAAATACAGGACAAAGTTCTTGGGGCAGCAAGATCAGTCTACCAGGGTAGAATTCCAAGTTGGAAATAGGAAATGATGCAGTTGGAAAGAATGACTGAAGCCATATAGTAAGAAAGCTAAAGAGTTTTGACATTTTATAATAGTGTCCTATTAGCTCTGGGGATGGGGAATCCCTAGATGCAGAGGGAAATAATAGGAGCACCAAGGGAGTTGTTAAGCATTTTTGTTCTAAGGTCAAGAGACTTGGGCAATAAAGTCCATGGGCTTTAAAGTCTGTTACATTCATCACTGTATTTTGAGCATCTTGAGCAAGCCTAGGACATTATATAATAAGTTTGTTGAATGACTAGAAAAATTCAAAGTACCTGAAGGACCTAGGTTTTAAGTCACCACAGCTGCTTACAAGCTTTGTGACCTTGAGGAAGTTATTTAACTTCTAAAGGCTCAGTTTCCTCATCAACAAACAGGGATGCTACCTATCCCATGAGGTGGCACGGAAGATTAAATTAGAAAATAAAGGTAAAGGGTTCAGTACATTGTCTGACATATAAGTATTAGCTATAAATAATTAAAAATCCTTAAAGTAGTTCAAGAAGCACTAGAAGGAAGTGTAGAAATAATAAAACCTATTTAGCGTCTGCTGCGTAGTGGACCTGAACATCGGAAGGACCAGGGTGCTTCTAGACATGTTTAAATGCATATGAGAAAGAGCAGTTCTTAAAGCACATTCTCACTGTTTTAGCTACAATGTTGTCTAAATTGCTATAGAATATAATGCAATATTATATATACATACACACATATATTTAAGCCATTAAAAGAATAAACAAGAGAAGTGCAAGTTTCAAATTGATATGGATAGTGATATGATTAGCTGATGTACAATTAGTGAGATTCCTATAATATGCAAAATCAGGCAAATAATATTTAATAATGAATTAATGGTGACTATTAATTAAAGAGCTACAAGATTACTGTCATTCATGTGGTAGGCACTGAATAAAAGTTTTTTTGAATGAATGAACAACTTCTAAATCCACATAGGAAAAGATATTTTTAAATAACATATTTGATTTCCATGTTTCAAATTTATAGCAGATTGAATTCTTCTAATTCTTTCTTGAAATTTAATAGTTTAAAAAATTTCTGCAGTACACTATGTTAAAACCCTTAAGACTGTAATAATTAACTACACACCACATGTTCCTGACCACTGTGTACGAACTTACCTGACCCTAAGGAAATTCCTGTCCTAGAGGTATATTTCAGTATTTGCATTTGAACTGTGGACTCAATTGTCAGAAAAATACAGGAAATTTGAGGATTTATACAGAATAAGTACACTGTGGCTAAATAATGTCAAGAAACATTAGGACATAATCATAGAGCTTAGAGATATTATTAAGGATGCAAAAAGATTCTGTCCACTATATGATATGATAATATAAAATCGTAAAGTCTAGCAACTCTCAAAGGAATCAAGGTCATTACAAGTGTATAAAGGTCATCTCTTAAAAAAGAGATGATAAATACTATCAAGTAAACATAATTTTCTTAAACCATCTGTCATTTAAACAAAATCTACTCAACCAATGGCAGTGAAAATTAAAATCTGCTGTTGTATCACAAAGATGATTAATACAAAACCTGTAGATAAAACTTTATTACGTATCTTTGCCAACAAGCTACAATAGTTACTTGGGGTGATATCTTCACTAGCTACTAAGGCCCCTCCTCTGCTAGTTAACTATCAACAATTAATTTCCTAGATGATGTTGTTTTAGGGGAAATAAACCAAGATACCCAAAGGAAAGTTTTTACTGAATTACATAAGGAACTTGCTACTACTGGGAAAATCTACATTCTAATAACACCTTGAACAGCATCCCAAGGCCAGCTCAAATCTTTCAGCACTTCACATACAATTTTTAATGAAGCAAGTTTGGGGCTATTTTTTCTCTCAAACTCAGACAAATAGGTCAGATAAATAGCTTCAAAGTCAATACAACTTTCTAGGTGACCAGAAAGACAAATGGCACACCTAAAAGACCAAACCCAAAATTATAGGAGGCAGAAAGAAACTAAGAGTAACCAGTTGCTCTGAAACAATGGCACTGGGAAAGAAATACTAATTTCAAAAATAAAGCAAACTTGGGGATATTTTCAAGTGTATCAGAAGAGAATCATTAGATACGAGAGCTTAATTTTACATTTTACAAAATAATTGGCTTGTTAATTCAGCAATATTATAGCCTGACTTTAAATATTCACTCTAATCAAATAAAAATGTATAAAAAAGTGTTCTAATTAGCATTTTGAACAACGCAGTTTGGAAGCTATCGGCTTAGTGCAACTTGCACAGAAAAATTGATGTAAGGATTTCATTTTGACTTACATGAAAATTGACCTAATATGTCACAACTCCAGTTCCCAGAGGATTTTATTCTTTAAAAGCTATGTGATTAACTTTACTCGTGTGTACATCTCCCAAAAGAATTGAGATGCCAAGATATTCCTGGTAATATTAGCTGTAATCTTCCTAAGTTTATATATCGGCACTTAACTATTCAATAAAATAGATTTAACAGCTACATATTTGCATATGTATTTTTATTTCTTAGTCCAGTTTTAAATTTTACAGAACACATGACATCTGATAACAAAGTAAAATTCATTTTGTGATAGTGCTTAGTATTTTTTCTTTCTCTTTTCTCAGCTTTCTCGGACACAAATACTATTTTGTCTTTCCTCTTTAAACCACAGGCTATTGTATCAAATATTCCTTTCTTTAAGAAACAACTAATTATCCTTAGGAAATGCCAAATTAAAACAAAAGTAATCTGGAAATACTGTTATCTCTAGAGCTAACTGCAATTTTGTGAAGGCTGAAATAAATGCATGAAGACTTTTCTGAAATAACTTTTACATAAGGATAAAATGATTTCTATATAAGAAACAATTACCAGCCACCATTATTAGCAAGCTAGAATGAGCAATAAAAACATTGTATTTGGAATGAGATATTAAAGGATAGCTATTAAAACATTTTACTCAATTTCTATTACACCTTAAAATGAAAGTCATCAAAATGTCATTACAGGCCTTTTCCCCAGATTCTTCAGAGAGTGAATTTAATCATTTCAGGAAATTGAGCGCTATCCAACATTCACTTAAATCCTTGAATTAACAGCAAAGTAAAACAAGATTCAAGATTTATAAGACATTTTATATTCAAATAGGTCCACATACATTCAGATACATACCAGGAAGTATTTGTCTTCAGATACCTAGAATTAAATATTTCTTGAGAAATTAATCACTCGTTGAAAATATTACCTTCCCAAAGACCTATAGTCAGAAACCCTAGTAAAGGAATCACAAGTTGAGCTCTGCAAAAACTGAGTTAACAAAGCATTGAGGTGTCAGTTTAAAAGAAAATCTTTAAAATATCAATTATTTGGAAATTAATTTTAGCCACAATTATTTCTTATGCCAGAGAGCTTATTAGTTTTGACTGCTGTTGTACTGAAGAGCTAAACACACATTGTACAGGTGCAATTACAATAAATAAAGGCAACCTTATTCGTTCTTTCAGAAAACCAGTACTCTGAAGAATTTTCAAGCCGGAAGAGACCTTTGACATCACCTAATCCTAGATTGTAATTTACTGGTTCTAGGAATAAAATCTACATAAAATAAAGACCATTTCTATCAATCCCCAAAGGATCATTTTCTCTAAAGAAATAAAAAGCCACTTATTTCCAAAGCTGAAAAGCAACAGACGAAGCACCTGATTGTATTTTGTTAACAAAAGCTAGCCAATCTGTAGCACAGTGTCTAACAATAAAATTCTCGAAGTTATTCTCTTTGAGTCTTATATATTAAAAATAATGTAAAATAGTCATATTTAGAAAGCCGTTTCCTAATAGAACTGGCAAGAAGGACATGAAATGGTTTAAAAATGGCACCTTAAAAATATGCTGATTTTTTTACCTTTCTGTTGGAGGAGGGTGTCACTTCTTATGGATCCCATTTTCTTGAAGATACTCAGTGCTGGCCGACTTGGAATAAAAAACCATTAGCATAATACTTTAAAAAAAAACCTGCCTTACGAAGCCGCAGTCTCTCTCAGAAGAAAGCTGATAGTGCTTATAAGCAATAAATGGCCTCCCTGATACCTATTCTGTCATCTTCATCTTATTAGCAGAGTGTATGTTCCCTGCAGCTCCCATCAATTAGTAGATTTAAGGGGACGGGAAATGTATTAGGGCTCATCTGCTGAATGCGGCTGTGGACTCCATTGCCTCTTAATCACTGCATCTCCTTTCTAAGGAGGGTCTAGAATGCAAGGAAGTCCGGGGACCATTAAGTGGCACACATACAGAGCATTCCTGGGAGTCACCAACCCGGGACTCAACTTTCCCTCAGAGAGCCAGCCCCCCGCGGCTGAGAGCGACAGAGCCGCCCGTGGCTGAGCCACACACAGCACATCTGCCTGTCTGTGCCTCAGCACTTGGCGAAGCAGACAGAGGCCAACACTGGCAGAAAAACTCCTCCTGACTTCTTGCTCCAACCAAATCCAGGCATTGAGGCAGCCCCTGCTAGGGAGAAGGTGAGGAAATGGAAGGCTCACCCTCCGTCTTCTATCCACCTAAGCCACATCATCGGAATCACAAATGAAATGCTAATGGCCAACTAAATGAATGCCAATTTCCTCCACTTTGCTCCAAGTTTCAGTGGCCCCTCCGCAATAAAAGACAGCTGTTTGTGGAGAATGCCTTGTTCCATACCATTAACTCAGAACAAAACATATTTTTAGTCCGACAGTCATGTTTACTTGTAAGAACTGATGAATTGCTGAGCACCATTTATTACTCCCAGACAAAGACATTCAGCCACAATTTTGGACATAAATCAAGGTACATGCTCCTCAATTAAAAAAAAAAAAGAGACTGCTTAAGTCCCCAAAACCACAGAGATTGAGGTCAGACTGGCCATAGCAACCACCAACAGAACTTAGGCCTCCAGGAGGACCTAGCAACCAATAAATGAGTTCAGATCTCTTTTCATCTCCACTGGTGTGAAAGCCAAAATTAAAAAGATTAGATCACCCTGCACCCATTACAAAAGGTGCCACAATGAAAAAGTCATTTCCAGCCTTTGAATCACATCAAATAAATAACATTCATCCCTGCTATAATGAACAACTTTCAAAGTAAATTGAATCTCCATAGTGCTGCTTTCCCTGGCTGCACAGTATTTACATAACAATATATCACAGGAAGCCCCAATGGGTCTTGTAAATGGGGGAACAGGGATAAAAAACATCTTTAGCCCCATTACTGTATATTCACACTGCTTTCCCCCATCCCTCTCATTTGAACAATGTGTGGTATCAGGAACATAAACAATGCCTTTAAATTGTGGGAATTGAAAGTTTTCAGTACATTTTAAATGCCTGGAACTCATCCCAATACACTCTCTTTGTGGAGCACAGAGAACATAAAAATCATTTGACCTCCTAAATCCATGCCCTGGACTCATTTTTGTGACAAAGAATTCTCATCTCTGTGTACACTTGCTCCTTTGTTCACACCAACAATTTTTCACCCTAAATATCTGCTGAGTTTTTATATATTACTTTAAAATGAAAACACATTTGCAGATTTTTTTGGAGCGTGCAGCTCATTCATTGTATGTCATTTCCTCGAAAGTACCAGGTATTCTCTATTGTTATAACAATGTCTACGAAGTTTTAGTAATACCTCCACACCCAGTGTCCATCCTTAACACTTTAATCTTCACTCAATGTCTCCTGGCTATTAAATAATAATTAAGCAGCAATCTCCCAAATCACAGCAAGTCTCATAAACTATTGTACATTTCATAGATTTCAAATGGAGTGTGTTCAAAATAAGACAGCTAAATCTATGGCAAAAATACACACCAGCACAATCGTATTTTTTCTGGCAGCTCACGTAGATATTACTATTTGAACTCCATGGGGAATCTCATTAATTTTTAAAACTCACTGACCTCAGTATGGTTGAGTGTAAAAATAATTACAAATTAAGAATGAAAGAGCATCACTTAATTTCTGCCCAGCCATATGTTCCACATTGCACAAAACATTGCTAACTATCACCAAACAGAATTTTTTCCAGATACAAATTTAAGCAGCATGATGAATATCACCACACAGACGTTAAAAGCAGCTCACCCTTCCTTCCACCAGCCCGCTCACACCTCACCTCCGATGATTCTAGTAACACAAAGCCGGAGAACACAGGTTTGAAGGCAAGTGACAGCCCCGATGATGCCCTCTCGAAAATATTTCCCTATGAGACTCGCTTTCTATCACAATGTCTCAGCCACAGGGATGCAGAAACGCTAGAATCAAGCATAAATATTTTCTTACCTAAAACTTGTCAGAAGGACGATCTTGTCATTGTTGTCACCTCCAGTGCCCCCTCTCTCACCATCGTGGAAATTGGCTCCACTATGTTTATAGCTCTGTGCCTCAGTGACAGCGGTGACACTCATCTGCCTGCATAGAACCTATGAGGGGGAAATGAGAGAGGGAGGGAGAGAGAAAGAGAATAAGACAGAGGGAGGAAGCGTGTGTGTGTGTGTGTGTGTGTGTGTGTGTGTGTGAAAGAGAGAAAGAGAAAGAGACTAAGAGAGCCAGAGAGACTGCTGACTTGAGACTAAGAAGCTAAAACCTCCGGCCAAGTCAAGCCTGAACAAAATGATCAAGCTCTGTCCTTCATCAAGAGAGTAGACAGATATATATATATATTTTTTTCTCGTCCACTGAAAAGTGGGACTGTCATTGGGGATTCTCACCAGGAAAGCGGAGACAGAGGCAGACCTTCTCCAGAATGCCAGTGCTGCCCAGCAGTCCGTGCAGAATACAGGTACCTATTGTTCCAGAGACAGATATGTAGCCAGCCAGTCAGACTCTGACAGATCTCAGCAAGCCAGTGAGCCTGCCTTCATTTTAACTCCTTCTTTACTAGTGCTTTTTGGTGAGATGCGAAGGTCTTCTCATCACCCATGAGAGATAAATGGGGATGATACAGATGAACTCACTGCAGAAACTAATCCTTTATCTTTTCAAAGGGGGGGGGGGCTATTTTTGCTACTACTACTGAAATGTTGAATTTGATGCAAGTGTCTTATTTTTTTTTTGGGGGGGTGGAGAAATGAAGCATTAGATTGCATGGGCAAGACTTAGCAAGTAAAAGAAAGCTTTGACATCCAAGATGAACAGTACAGCCAATTTAAAAAGGAAGAGAGTAATCGGGGTTATTTAAAACACCCTGAGTGTAAATACATATATTGTAAAACAGATAGGGGGATACTTAAGCCAAAGAGGTTCCAGCCTTTCGCATAGGGGTGTGGCACATTGAAAACATTCTGCATAAAAAGCCACCCCAGCGGACCTGTGTCCCCTAGGTCTGAAGTCCTTTTGGTCCACTTTTTTTCTAGACTTCACTGTTTTCTCAAACACCCCCAAAACAACTCCCATCTCCAATGCTACATCAATTTTAAATCATGCAAAATAAAGGAAGCTCAGAGAAAAATAACTTATTCTATCTTCTCCCTGTTGGATCCCAAGATCCAGGAATACATCTCATTCTTTCAATTCCTAGACCTTCATAAATGACGGTGGGTTTCTAACTTTCATTTTTGTGTATTAATTGAATAATTTTCTTTTAAGGAGTGGAAGGAGACAAAGTGCCTTGCATTTGAGTACTTAACAATAACATAACAAAAAGAAAAGTGGCTTGTCATTGGGTTAAGACAAGAAGTGGACCTGTCCTCACCCCCAGACACTTAATATATGAGCACTTTGGTTTTTTTTTTTTTTTTTCCTGGAATGAACTCCCATCCTCATTAATTTTTACCATCACTCAAGACACATTGTGTATAATCAAATATAGTAGGTGTGCTGTATGGTGTAGAAAATGGTTATGAAATTCCTTCATAAGATCCACAGTCAGGCATCACTTTACAAAGCCAGAGGGTAAATATTCCATGCAATGGGGGAGGCTTAGCCATGCATGGCTGTTAATGCTAATGAGACATGTAGAACATATCTGTGCACTGCCGAACAGCTTTCCCCAAGTATCTAGGTTTTGCTTTATTTATTTTTAAAAGCAAACTAATAAGAGATCGCATTGTGGTGCTTCAAAACTCCATTTAAGAAAAAACAAAAAACCGAGAAAATACAGGAACTTCCTTTCATACTGTCTGTTGTCCTAAATCCCAGCATTTCGAAACCATTTCAAGTCGTGCTAATTTAACTAGGACACTAAGCAATTAATATAGGCTTTAGAAACTCTTTCAGAAGTTAAAATTGCTTGACTTGGTGACATCTGAAACGGTTGCCTTGTGGTTTGTAGTCCGGGAGAGTTGTTATTATGTTCAAAATGTCAAATGACTTTTACCTGAACAAGGAAAAAAGTATGGATGGATTTTTACTAAATTCATCTTAATCTATAAGTCAGGAACAAGAGAATCTTGCAGTCTGTTTCTTTTATGTGCATAAACTGTTTTTTCCCCTGCAAAGGCCACCCATTTTAAAGAACATGCATATTTTTGTGAAGTTCAAGGGACAACTTCATTTATTATGACCATCTTAACAGCAAAACAGCAGAGGCCCATGCAATGAAAGAAAGGAGGATAAATTATAGGAACACACATTGAACAGAGCCAGATCACAGGAGAAGTGACAGCTTCCCAGCTTCCGTGCATAGTTCCCGTGACTGCCTTTAAGGCTGCAGTTTAAAGGGGGCTTGTAAACTCTCACTCCTGAGCATGTGATAAGACTTAGGTGTAAGTACATTTAATTAGAGCATTACCCAGGCCCCATCCAGATATTGTTATCTTTTGTGGTTTTTTTTTTTTCTTTTTCTTTTGATCTTTCTTTTCCACTTCTGTTGTCTTCAGAAAACCAAGTTTGGTGTGCCAAACAGATTTTAAATATTCGGCTCTTAGCATGTTTGAATAGATCTCACAGTAGGGGGCCATTATTTTCTGGAGGCATTTGCAGAGGGTTATCAGCGTTAATGAGAGTCATGTGCACATGCAAATCAAAACAGATACGCCATGGAGAATGTGGACGTGTGTCTCTCTGTGTATAAATGGATAGCTGTATTGTGCAATGCACACACTTTTGTATGCTTCAGGAGTAGGAAAAAAGATCTTTTTTTTTTCCATAATAGGGACCTTCATGAAGTCTCTGTCTCTGTCCCTAGAACACCCCTGAGGTATATACCACATAGCTCTAAGTTCAAAATTCATACGTCAGTCCCCAATTTGCCATGATTCATGTCAAGCAAAACTCCAACATGAAGTGTCCACCATTTCTTTAAAGAAAAAAGTAAATATCCTGTCCCATGTGCTGGGTCTCTAAGACCTATATAGAGGAGAGTTAGGGGTACCACTCATTCATAGTAGCAAGGGGCAGACTCGTTGCTCTAAGGGTCTTAATCTCTTTTTGGCCACATAGCTTGATCTGAGAAACCTCAAGTTAGGTTTCCCAGAAGAGGTGTGAAATAAAACCAGAATCCCTTCTTTATCTTACAGAATATTCCAGTTCTTTTGATTTGCCCCCAGGACATGCTGGGGACACACTTAGTTATTCATTCACACAAGGAACCTCACACTGGTATAACTTCTAAAAGACGCTCTGGGAATATTGAAAGTAACCCAACTTCAGCAAAGTTAAAAATAGTTTCTCCACCAAATTAAACATTATCTAAGTTCTTGACACAGTTATTAAATATATAGAAGATCACCTCTGTGCATAATCTACAAATGGCTTCAATTACATATTAAAATTATAATTAAAATCTTCATCTTTTCTCCATTAACCAATTTGAGATTAGAGAGTATATTCTGGTTTGGAGTGAAAGTTCGTGAGGAAACAAGATTTTTGATGGTGGCAAGTTGGAAATTCATGGCAAAATTACAAAATATTTCTAACAGAAAAGAATGCAAAACTATGAACAACTTCTGAGACCCTCTTTAGTCCATGTGAGTATTAAATACCATAAAGATATTTCCTGGTGACTTCTGCTCCACAGAACCTCACCTTCTTGAGAGAGAGACGGAAAAGCTAAAACTTCTGCAGGGTGCCAGAGGACAGTATTTGATAACATTCAAAATTAAAATCTTAAACAAATCTGATCATACAATTCGGCTGATTAGAAAACACATTATGAAATATAAACTAAGGCTTTCCAATAGTTAAAGTTCAGAGAACAGTAAATATTAGTTAGTTTTCCATTTAATTCATAACTAAGTGAAAGTATGATTTCTGACTGTGCTGTTTTGAAAAGTCATGGATAATTTAATGCGAAGTATTAGGAGGTACTTCACACCATCCAACTCCTGCAGTATTTCTAATAGAGGAAAAGCACACATTTTCCCTAATAATCCTCTCTACAACATAATCATATATATTTTATAGTCTATCAAGTTCAAATTCCTGACATTTAGTTTAAATTAGATAACAATTCGGTTTTAGAAAAGCTCAATGAAATATTTTACTCATCAATTAGTAAGCAATAAGATATTTTGAAGTAATGGTGGAGCCTTTTACCTTCTTTATTCTACAATAGCTGCTGGAAGTCAACTCTGAGAATATACAGAGAACAGAAAGTTAATATTTGAAGGTAACAAAGAGAAAGTATTTGCATTGTTGTATGTGTAAATGAAACAACATGTTTTCCCCAAGTTTCTATAAATGCTCTCATAAATAGTCTCAGACTTAAGGCACAATGAAAAAAAAAAAAAAAGAAACATGTAGCTGATTGATGAGAGTTGATATTCCACACAAAGGCATTTCAAAGAAGTGAGGAAACTCCCAGAAGGGGATTAGGCAGAAAACATTGGTAAAGATTTTACTACGTTTACCTTGTACAGCCTTTTTACAAATAAATCATGGAATATTCTAGAACATTAATATTTCCTCCAAGAGCTGCAATTCTAAAATGTTTTCTGCATTGACATGTATTATTCTGCATCCTATTCTTTGAGTGAAACAGGACCTACCTGGTTTCTCCACCAGTTGTTCCCAGAGCTTTGCAGAGATTGGCAGAATGTTCTGCTACCTGCAAAGCTGCAGGGAAAGTGCTCCTCTCCCATCTATTGGTCATGTGAGGTCTTCCCCACCCAAAAGTTTTGGTAAAAGTCAGGATAAAGCATGATTTATTAATTTGGCAAAGCCATTACAATCTTGCACTAAATTGCTATTGGCCCTTTCCCTAGCTACTGCTGTTTAAGGAACTCTTTAAAAACCAATTTAATTTTCTTCCACCCAGTCAAGTTTTCTCCACAGATAATTGGCTTTCATTATATGCACAAGAAGCATCAGTG